CTCTCCCGCTGGCTCCCCCGGGTGGGGGGTGGTTGGCCAGCCGATGGCTGCTGCAGCGGTCTGGATCTCGCAGGTGGGAGTCGTGGGCTGCGGTGCCCCTTGATGTGCCAAATCACAGTGGCAACCTGCGAGGCGGCGAGGCACGTGCTTTGTCTCCATCCAGAAACCTCCCTCCGGGTGACGGCTCCGGGAAGCAGCGTGGCTGGGTGGGATGAGCCCTGGGGTTCAAGGCAGGGGTGAAAAGCCTTTGCTTGGTCCCTCAGGGCTCCAGCTCTCCCACTGGGTTCAAACAGCTTGCCGAAGCGCTTGCAAAGTGACTGTCCCCGGTGGGACCTGCCCAGGGCTCTGCAGCCGGAGCGACCCTGCGTGGGAGCTGACCCTGCGGCTGCGTGGGGACCGCAGCACAGCCAGCAGCCGGCTGTGAACCGGGGGCCCTCGCAGCTTGACCAGAGCTCTTGCAACGTGGATATTTTTAGCCCATGCAAATGGCAGTGGTTATTTTGTACTGTTGTGCCTTTTAGCCTTTCCCAGGGATTTTATTGCTCGTGAAAGCGAGGGCCTCGGAGCTGTGTGAGTGTCTGTGCTGGCTGCTGCAGTGACCATGTCTGCCTCCATTGCTCCAGCTCCATCTGCCCATGCGTTATCCATCCGATGTCCCCCAACAAGCCTGTTTATAGTGAGGTGGTGGGATGTGACTGGCAGAAGCACCTCAGCTTACCTTGGTCCAGACTTTTCTGCAGGGCTGGGGTGCCTGCCTGACACCCTGAATGCGTGCATGGGGTTGGCATTGCGTGTGCGATCCCCCTCATCGGGATGGGACAGAACAGAGGAACGTTGCAAGCTCATTTATTGTCAGTGTTTCAAATCAGTATTTTTTATTACACAGACTCATCAGGTTGCTCACACTGTGGCAGGAATTTAATAAAAAAAGGCAATAATATAAGGCACAGGGAACATTCAGAGGTAAAAAAAGAGTTCTCAGCCTGTGAGACTTAACCATCCCTTTGCTCCTGTCAGGACCCTCTCTATAAAGCAAAATCTAAATACCTTCTCCCTTCCCTCCTGCCCATCTCTGAAACCCCCAAATCCACAACAGGAAAAAAAGTACTACAGCCTTTCCCTCGAGCATGTGGCAAGCACCCCTCTTTCTGAGCCGAAATGTCCCTTCCAAGCCTGACACAGCTTCCCTGGGAGAGCAGGGCTGGAATTTAAGCACGACCGAGGCAGAGATGGGAAATGCTCAAGGGCACTGTGATCTGGGGAGAGCCAAGAGCTTGATCTCCGCTACAGCAGAATCGCAACAGCAAGGTCAGCCACACGCGGCCTGGGGGAACAGGCAGCCGCCCCCAGTCTCTCTTTGCAGCACAGAAAACGCGACAGCAGTACGGTCACTGAGTAATGGTAAAGCACGTAGCACTTTCAAACCTTTATTTTTCAAAGGGATTTTACAGGATGGGATGCGTTTCATTTTATTTGTCTCAAATTTTGTGTGCTTTCCTATTCATTTGTTTGATTAGTTCTTTTTATTTTGTGCCAAATGATTGTTAAATTCAAGCCCTGGGAATGAAAAAAAAAAAAAAACAAGGGAAAACAAAATCCTGCCACTCTGTCTTTCTCACCCCTCTCCTTCCCATCTACCATGACCTGGGTGACCACAACGTCACCCGCAGCTGCTCTGCTCGAAAAGCCCAGTCCTCCTACATCCTCTGGCTCTGCCTTCCCTCGCTGGCGATCTGTAACTGGGGGCGGTGAATCAGCTGAGAGCTCTCTGCGTCTGCGCTGACGTGTCCGAGAACGTGCTGTTAGTAAGAAGTTAAGAGAAGTTGATCCGAGAGCGGATACGGAGACGGTGCGGATATTTAGGACAGGAACAGGGTCGGTCAATGGTAAAGACACGTCGGAGAGGGAAAGGGCTGGTCAGAGTGTGTGGAAACAGCCGAGTGAGTAATCTAGTGGTAATAGATTAGGCTATGAACGAGGACTGTTATTTCTCTTAGCACCTTTACTACGTATGTTTAGATCTATATTAGCACCTTGTTCCCAGGGAAGAACAAAACATAACAAAAGCCGTTTAAAAACTGAAGGAAGTGGGAAGGTTAAAACAAGACAAAGTTGGCAGCAGAGAAGGAAGCTGGGAGTTTAGATCACAAGATCCTTGTCGATGTCCTCTGGAAGGAAAAGAGAGAGACCAGGTTAGGAGGTGGATGCTCCCAGGGTCCCGCTGCTCCTGCGATCCCCTCCCCGCTCTGCCCTGCTTTTCCCTCCCCAGGACCGGTTGTAATGCCTCATTTCATCCCGAGTGGGGTCTTTGGGGGTACTTTTGGGTGTCTCCTCCAGCCCCATTCCCTCCCTGCTCAGTACTTACTCTCCTTAATGCCGAAGCAGCTGGCCCACTCCTCCAGGGCGATGTACTTGTCATTGTCCAGGTCGCAAGCCTCGAAGAAGCGGGTGGTGCAGTGCTCCATGGGGATGAGGGGGGCACGGAGCGGGGCCAGCTCGGTGTGGGAGAGGTACCTGCCAAGGTGACCACACAGTCAATGTGCTGCCCACCAGCTTCAGCTGCGATCCCGCGGGAGGGGAGATGCTCTGCCGGGTGCAGGGCCCAATGCAGGGCACGATGCTGGCCCCAGCTCTCCGTCTGGTTTGAGAGCTGTCCCAGTGCCCTCCCAGTAGCCGCCACTGTCATTGAGTTCAATGACCGGTGTCTGCTTTTGCAGCCGGCTGTGCTAGACACAAAATAGCCAGCAGCTGGGGTTCCTCACCAACTGCCCCCACCCCATGGGTCTCTGCGTGTGATGGCTCTCATGTCCATCTCCAGCTCACGGCTAAGCCAGCAGCTGCTCTTTCAGCTGTTGAAGTTATCCTGGGGCCTTTGGACTAAGATATTTTAGGGAACTATCATAGGAGAGTAAATCTAAGACAGAAACTCCACATCTATGGGAGATGGGAGCAGCTGGGGCTGGGGGAGGCTCCTCTTTCTACAGAAGAGCTTTTTGCAGAAGGCAAAACTGCCTTTACCCCTACCTGGTTTGCCTCAACCCCTGCCAGATACGTGCAGGGTTGTCCCTCCACAGGGTTTTGCCTGTGCCTCTGCCACCAGCCACCCACTTGTGCCACATGTCCAGCCTGCCTTGACACCTTCTGCCACCAAACCACCCTGGTCCTCGAGCAGGAAAGGGTGCTGGTGGGGGCCTCCATCCTGCTCTACCAACACTCACCCATCAATGGGGTGCTGGTCCAGCTGGCCGAACTGCCAGTGCACGGGGAAGATGTACATGTTGTAGTTCTTCTCAAAGTCGCGGGCCAGTAGCTCCACAGTGTGGTCACCGGCCTCCAGGCGCTTCTCGTTCTCGTGGATCTTCTTCACCTGTCATAGGAGAGGCCAGGGAGACCTTGTCAGCACAGGAATGGGGTGCAAGGGGGGATCCTGGGAGGGGCTTTACATGAGGTGTCCACAGGTCATTCTGGATGGGTTCCCCACGTGTGCCAGGCTCCGTTGGTGGGATGAGCTCCCAGGCACCCTCCCCAGCCCCTCACCTTGAGCTTCTGCTTCTCAGTCAGCAGGTTGTTGTCCTCATCACGCTCGTACAGGGTGATCAGCACGTTCTTGAGCCAGTCCCGCATGCGCAGGGGGAACTCGGTCAGCTCTGTGTCCAGGCAGGCGGGGATGACTGGAAGCCATACACGGTGGTCAGCACAGCGCCTGGACATGCAGCTCCAGTGCCCTTGCACCTCAGCTCTGCATCTGCCTGGAGCTTGGTCTCCCTCAGCCCATGGGCAAAGGGGCTATGCTCAGGTTAGGGCTCCCCTTGTCTAATGGAATGGCTCCACTTACATTTGCAAGGCCCAATGTAGTCCAGGTGCAGCTTGTGTCCTTTCTTGGTTCCCTCCAAGGTGCACTTAGTGGCAAAGAAATGGCAGGAGGAGTCATAGGTCTTGTTGTCGGTGCCACAGACCTGTGCAGGATGGGGAGATGCTGCGTGAGGTATGGTGAAACCCAGCCCTGCTGCGGGGACAGCAGGGAGAGCCTCCAAATGAGATGTTTAACTTGTTTCCTGGTGGATAATGGCTCCTTGGTCACTACTGGCTGAGGCCAGCTGGGGACCTCCCACCCTGGCTCTGACTGTCTCCCCCACCATCGCTGGCAATGTCCCATGTGAGGTCCCTCCCTGCTCCGGCCGATCAAGCAGCTTCTGCCCTCACCTTCTCGAAGACACCGGTGGTGGCTGGGCAGCTGGAGGGGTCCTGGCACACACACATGGGTGAGTTGTTGTCATCCACCTCGCACACCTTTCCGTGCTTGCAGTGGTGGTTCTGGCAGGGGTCTGGGAGAGGACAGGGAGCAAAGTCAGTGCCTGCCCCATCCTCACCTCCCACAAGCTGCCTGGGGCATCTCAGCACAGAGGAAAGACAAACATTTCACCAGACACAGCCCCAAGCATCTCTCCCTGCACTGGGAAGATGTGAGGGTCTCCAGAAGCCCAGGATTAGCCCAAGGGCTCCTTTCTGTAGCCACAAAATGCAATGGCTTTTCTGTTGCAAAAAAAGGGGTTATGGAGAATCCAGTGTAGGAAAGAGGTCATGTACCTCTTCTGCTTTTAAGTGTGCATCGAGGTTGGCATTGGCCTTGTGCTACAGCCCTTCCCAAAGAAGTCCCTCACTGCTTGGGGTAGCTAAAGCTCCCCGATTCAGGGAAGGGATGGTGTCTCTGCCTGCTGGAGGGCAGGGGAAAAGTGACTTACTCTCTGCAACAATCTCTTCTACATCCTCTGTGGGTTCCTCGAACTCTCCCACCTCCACCTGGACAGGGTTAGCTCCCACGGGCTCCTGCAAAAGAGGTCGGTGTTTCTGGTAGGGATGTGCAGAGAGCTGGGCCCCATTCCTGAGGGGCAGAGCAGCCCTCCCTTTGCTCCCGCTCCCCTGTGCTTCGGAGATGCTCTTCCCAGGGCGGTGGGTGCTGCAAGGGATGGGTGACAAGGAGGAGCAGAGTCACCTACCTCTGTGGTGGGGTCTTCGATGACCTCTGTCTCATCTGGCAGAGCCTCCTGCTGCAGGAGAAAAGGACCATGAGCCAGGGTCCGTGGAGAGGATGGTCCCAAGGGGGGTGACCCACCAGGGCAGGTGACAGGGCCACCCACAGGTTTTCTCTCCCCCCGCTGTCCCCCATACCTCGGGGCTTTATTTGTTATAAAAGAAAACCCCCACCAGATACATCAGATGGACAACCCTGACAGCAGGGAGGCTCCGTTGTCTCCCGTACTTACCGGAGCTGCCAGGGCTTTGCCTGCCAGGCAGAGAAGGAAAAATATCCAGGCCCTCATCTTTCAGCAAACCCTGAATAAAGGAGAGGAAAAGGAGGGATGAGGAAGGAGGCCGCTGCGTGCCGCTCGGCTCCAGGCTGAGCGCACGACTGGCAGTCCTACGCTTAGAAAAGGGCGTTCTCTTTATTCCCTGCCTCGTCTGTTCGATATTACAGCCCCACATGCTGTCTTTTCTAGCCAAAACCTTAAGCCAAATCATGCTTTCAAAACACATTCTTTTGATTTTGCAAAAGGAGATGATGGGGGTTTAGATTTCTGTTGCTTTCCTGGATGCCTTTAGAAGAATTGCGGTCAAAATGGCAGTTCCTCTGTCCTTCACAGGAGCTTTTTTAGACCAAAAAACCCCAATTTTTCATCTTAAAAGCCCCTGATATGAGCACTGGGTACAGGCAATGAAACTCCCTACCATTTTGTTTGTCAATCAGAGGAAAAATGAAAGTGTAGGAAGGAAAGATAGAAGAGAGAGACAGTGAGATGGGGCACTCGACAATTAAATCCTGGAGAAAACCCCTTCCCACATGAACACAGACATCTCTCTGGGTGTCAGGGACCAATACCCCACCCCCAGCACCCCCAAATTTTGGGGGCCTGCTATAGATTTTCATTTTCCTGCTCAGAGCTGAGGGTCCCCAAACTGGGTTTGAGGGATACAGGACGCATCGGGGTTGTGTCCTGCTGGGAGATGAGCTCCAGGAGGACAAGCCCTTTGCACCCTCTCGATGTGGGCTGTTGCAGGGACTCTGTAGGACGGGCGAGTCAGGCAGCCCAGCTAACACTGGCCGCGATGTGAGCCAGGAGAGCGCAGCTGGTGAAATCGCCCTGTCCTTGCCCCCTCGGTTCCTGTTTGGCAGGATTGAGCCCCTCTGTGTGCGGGCAGAGAGGAGCTCAGCTGGTTGCTTAATATGCCGGTGGCATCCAACTGCTGACAGCAAGGGCTGCCCGCTCCCTTCCGCCCGTCGGGAGAGTGAAACACCCCTGGTTTGTCTCCTGCCAGCGAGGGGACTTGTCCCCATGCCAAGGCTTCCGCTGCCTCCCTTCCGCTCGCCTTCCACCTGCGTGGCCGGGGCATTGCAGCCCACCGGCTCCCTGGGGCTGGGCAGATGGACGGCTTCGCTGGGACAGAAAGTGATGGACAAGGTGCCGCCTTCTCTCCCAGCAAGCATGGATGGATATCTAATTCACCCGTGCATCTTTTCCCTTCCTCCCTGTGCGTGGCAGGTCTCTGGGTATAAATCTGCGCCAACGCTGTGCTGCCAGGGCACCAGCCAGGCTGGGCTGTGCATCCCAATTTAGCAAGGTTTGGCCATGCAGAGGCTGAAATCCTCTTCCCAGTCTGAAAGCCTCACCCAGCCCCGGCTGGGTGCCCGTGCGAAATAGGTGTCAGGGTGTGGAGGGCACCTTCCCAGGGACATCTGAGAGCTGGGAGCACGGGGTGGAGGGGATGGCTGCTGTGGTGGGTCAGAGGACCTGCAGGGAGAGGGTCTGTGCGTGGGGGTGGATGAACCCGTTTGCTCTGGCAAGGCTGCAGCTGAGCGGCTCCCTCCTCTGCTGCTCGGTATGCGCCGTCCCTTCCCCTCACTTTTATTTGCTCTGGAGGCTGCTGAAAGCTCTCCTGGCATTTGCCCGGAGAGATCACCGGTTCTTCACTTCTGGAGGGGTGGTTTGCCGGGTGAGGGGGGGGTGTGTGGAAAAGTACTGGTGAATCTGGCCATTTCCCCCCTTACTGCCGTCCCCTGGCTTGTCAAGGCTTCTCTTGGGCTTCTCCCAAGGGGCTTGTTTGCTTTGGAAGATGCTCTGAGATTCAGTGATGCTTGTTGGGCAGAAACACAGCAGTGCCCAGCCTGGAGGAGGGGGCAATGTGTGTACACATAGAAGATGGCATTAAGAAGAACCCAACCTTCTCAGATGATTTCCCCAAGCCCCCAAAAAACCCTGAGTTTCAAAGTGTGGGCATGCAGTAAGCTGGGGTCAGGAAATGACGTGCTTGCTAGGAGCCAGCGGACGGCCAGAGCTGCCAGTGTTATGTTTGGAGGAAGAAGGAGCACGAAAGAGTCTGAGCAAACAAGGTCTGCAGAGCTGTCTCGCGCCGGAGATGGGAAAACAAGTTTATTTGAAAAACAACATCCTCCTGGAGGCATAGCCTGTGCACAGAGGACATTGCAGCATCTGTGAGCCCCTGGCTGTTCTGCGAAGGCATGGTCTTTCCTGAATGCCTGGTGGCCAAAAGTCCTGAAATAACGGCTCAGGAGCCCTGTGCTCAGAGCTGCTCCAGCAGAAAAGCCTGGCCCACAGAACAAGTCACTGGTGCAAGTCCTCCTCCCTGTGGACCTACCATGGTCATGCTGTCCAAGAGGATGCTCTTTGGAGTTGGCAGCTGGGCCATACCATGAGCTCAGCATCCATCCCCCAGCTGGAGGTGCTCGGGGGGATGCCTGCGAGGGGCCCTGCACTGGGATGCCTGGCACCGCTCTGCAAGAGCCCTGCGCAGGGCGGAGGGCAGCATGAGGGGCAGAGCGATGGGGCACAGCAGGACATGATTTTGGACCAAGGAGAACAGGGCTGGGAAAGAGATTTTACAAGTGGAGACTTAGACCCTTCTGTATCCTAAAGGAATCAACAGAAGCCAGCACATTGTGGGTGCAAAGAGGGCTGCTGAATACAAATATATCACCATCCCCTTTGCAGGACCCATGGTCTGCACTGTCTTTCTAACACTTGACCCCACTTGCATCCTAAGGGACTTCAGCTCCCAGTCGCTGTGCGAACACAGTCTCGTCGCTCCCTTTCTAGCGCGGACCAAGCTATCCCTCTGCGCCGGCTGCTCATTGCATTTTGCAGCGATGCGGCTAACGAGAGAGCCGTGGGGTGTGGAGAGGTCTGACACAGACCCTCAGCACCTCCATAAATTCAAAGCAGGCTGCTCTGGCAAACTCTTTTCCTCCCTCCCCCCCATCCTGTAGCACTACCATAAGTTTCTCCTACTGAGGAACACGCTCCACAGTGATGCATGGAGGAGAGTTTGGGCTGCTGGGTTCTGCCAATTCCTCTTGCCTCCTCCTGCCCAGCCTGGGGGCCTTTGCGGG